AATCAAATCCCGGGGGAGCACATCACACACAAAAGAAGAGAGGAAAACCACCACCTTGGACACCAGCACCACCACCTTCAGCTCTCAGTAACTAAGTAGGGGAACAAAGAGGGAAATGCAGTTAATGGGGGCTAAATAAGTGAATCAAAGTAATAAACAAACACAATAGCAAATATGTTCTCATAAACAGATAACTTGTGTAAACATTTAAGAATAAAACAAATCACAAGATAAAAGGTTCAGTTAAACAAAATAAACAATTAACTAGAATAAAATAAACAAACTAATTTAAATCAAGTTGGCCAAAGTAAGGACAAGTTATAGGGGGGAGTTAGCCCCAGAGTTCAATTACTTCCACACTTCGAGTGTCGGCCCAAGCAAGGCAACAGGAAGGCGTGCAGTTAAAGTAGCACTTTAACTGGTGAGCGAGCCTCCGCAGTAGGCGACGCAAAGCTGGCCAGAAGCAGCAATCAGATGCAACAACACAGTAGCAGCAGCCCAAACATTTAGGCAGGATCAACAGCAGTTGTGCGGATAAATACACTTTATCCGGTGAAGCAAAACAGCAGATGTCCCTTAACCATTGGATTGGCCCTAGGTTTATGAATAAATACAAAGACAGCGTTAATATGAATAAAAGTAATGAGGTGGATTGACTAAATAGATCGCCGTACAGCGCACATACCGATCAGGCTTTCCTATCGATGACGCAGAGAGGAGAGAGCTTCATGCTTTCTATGGCTGCGTTGACAGGCTGCACCCGGAGGATCCACCACTAGGTGAGGCAAAGCAGGGCTAAGTATCAATACGCTGGCAAATTGCAGAACCTTTCCTGAAGCGAGCAATGCAACTGCAACATACCTGCACCGGTGGCGGAAGCAAACACGGCAAACACGCAAGTGGGGCGGGTCTGTGTACCAACAAACAAGAGACAGCCAGCTAGAAACCTCTGCCCTTTTATAGGGTGCCCCCTGGTGGTGACATGCTCACAAGAGCCAAAAGAGGAGAATATGCTTTCTAAGGGATTAGGACTCTCATCCTGCTACACCAGATTAAATTAAATAACGACTTCTCCAACCTTATACTTTTCTCCAGAGTGCCGTGGTTCATTGTTTATTAATGTGTTTCAGCGGCATTTACCGACCGCTGCAGTGCTGCTGCTCTTCAACGAGTGTATTCTCCCGTTAGCTCCGGGTTAGCTCACACGGCTCTAAAGTATTCACTGTCTGACTGTCACACAAGCAGCTGATACATATCCCCAGTTCCCCTTAAGTGAATGTGTGTCAGTCTGAATTGACGCTGTTTGGCATCACAACGCTGTTATGAAAGTTTCTCTGGTATAACATGGGTGATGTTAGCATAGCAACCGAAGCTAAACTGACTACTTGCTAAGCCGTTTTCTACAGGCACTTTTTACCGGCGTATTTTTCATTATGATTCTACTTGTGATAGTCGGACATGACAACCTGTGCAGCCCATGTATTGATTCCATCCGATAGCTGCTATAATAACAAACAAAACGTCTGCCTGCTCTCCACAATGATCAATAACAGCGAACGGATGGTCAAAGTAAGGTTTCCTGCACGCCTCGACGTAAGAGACGCCACGTTATAGCTCCGAAGCTCTTGCCTCTGGACCGACAATTTTTTGGAGCTGGAATTGAACCGCATTCCGGAGCTATGACGCGCCGCCGCTGCGGTGTGAACAGGAACACCCGGTGCTTTTCAAGCTCCAGCTTCGAACCGGCCCTGAAACACCGTTGGTGTGAATGAGGTAAATGAGTCTTTCCTCTAAGCACCTTGACCTTGAGGGGACTAAACTATCCCATAAGAGGCCTGGGACCAGCCAAAACACTTTGTTAAAAACACAGTTTAATAAATAAAACGTAATAAAATGAAAGAAAACTAACTGTAAGTACTTAAAAGAATCCCCTTGAAATACCTTCAAAACCAGAACTGGGTCTATTGCTCCCTCTTTAAAATTAGCATGGTGGGAAGAGTGAGAACAAATAAGAAAGTTCCACATGTTCAAGCTTGAGTTCCTGTTTCTTGATAAGCAATGAGTCGTGATCTGTGTTAGCAATAACACAATGAAGCTTCTTGTAGATTCTCAGCAAGCTCACAGAATTATTAACCAAGTTGTTGTCACCTTTATTCTTTTAGTGATTACTGATTGTCTTATTTTAGATCTGGAAAGCACTTTGTTCAACTGAGGTTGTTTTAAATGTGCTACATAAATAAACTTGACTTTAATCAGATTTCAGACTTTCATATAAGAGTTCTGACATATTTCTACATTTCTTCATACCAGAATGAATGTTCCTTACATTTGACTGAATGTCTAGTGATCTACTCATATTTATAGACATAACAATATAGGATGAGTCTGCAAATAAAATGACAAAAAGTTAAAACCGCCAATCATTTCACAAAATTTCAGAGGTGATCATTTTCAATTAGCCAGCAGTCCAGTAACTACGTTCAAAACAATGAAAACCAACCAACTTTGACAATAGAGAAAAGAGAACCACAGAGTTCATATGTTTGCTTATTTACTCGTGGTTCTTAGTCCGGGCAGAAAAGCAGCACCGGCGAGGCAGAGGGAGAAATGGCACCTTTGGGAGATTGTGTTGGGTTGGTGGTATGAGGGGTTAAGGCATGAGTCGTGTCTCATTGCAGCTAGACTTGACTGAACTCCATTTCAGTCAGAAAAATCGTGTTTGAAATGTTTATTAACAGCAGCTTATAGTTTCAGTTTGGACCCAGCCTCACATCGAGCCATTCCCCTTGAGCTCCAAGGCTTTCCCGTGAATATATTATCTAGTGAGACTGCTATGTGTCGGCCTGGGACCGGCCACAACGAGCCCACGTTCAAGCAAAGATGAGTGGATAATCCTGCCCAGTAACCACCTGATATACCATGATAGTACCAGTGGCGGAGCCAGGACATTTTCAGTGGGGTGGCCAGGATGGAACCAGTGATCATTTTGGGGTGGCATTGAAATCACTATTATATGAACATAAAAATACATCTCACTAGAATATAAGGGGTTATTTAAGGCACCTACAACACACCTCTACATTATTTGGGATTAAGCTAGTGGTAGAATAGATCAAATAATATTCAGTATATCTAACTATTTTTTTCGTATTCCCACAGGCAAAGTATCAACGAAGCTTACATTATACAAATGTAATGCAATATACAGACTGTTTAGCTTATGGTGATCAGCAGCACTATGAGCTCATTCTCTCAGTGTATCATCAGGAATACAGAGACACACACACATCATTTAAATAATAGTTTTGAAATTAAATGATTGGTTAAGAATAAACATCTTAAAGTAAATAGCGAGTAAGAAAGCTATAACCAGAAATTGGCTTAATGTGAACGCTCAGACTCAGGAGCAGTGGCTGGAAATTGTTCAAGATATTTTTGTCATGGAAAAGTTGACATATGTTTTGAGAATCCAAGAGAATGCATTCAATAGGAAATGGGAAAAGTGGAATATTTACATGGTTGACACCAATGAGTAAGTGAATGACTAATTCAATCCTGTACGGTATGTGTGAATATTGAAGGTCTTCAGACAACTAGTATTTATTGTGCTTTATTTTACAACTGATTTGTGTGTATTATGTTTTGTTGTTCTGTTATTATTGTTGTGAAAACTCAATAAAAGCATAAGTGTAAAAAAAAAAATGTGTTTATAGGTCCTGCCCTCTGGCCATACACGCCAGGGATTTTGGGCCCCATGAAAAGATATCACATTGGGCCCCACCACCAGGCCCAGGCCACGCCAACAAAGCACAACTGCTGTAACCACACCTCCTGAACCCAACCGCCTCATTCATGCTTTAAATAACTCTACCTGTACAGGCTTGCATCTATCTTGTAGTCCAATACTAACTGCACAGTATTTACTGACACTGAGCTGTGAAAATATAACACTGTGCAGACGTGCAACATTCTGCTGCAGTATAATTCACTATTTGATATAAGACTAACATTCCTGACAATAGATCTCAATAGTCATCTTTTATGGTGTAAATGCCTTTTTAATAACATTTTTGAATGGAACATTCTCAACATGAATGCATAAATCCAAATAAATATAACTTAAATATGTGGAAAAATAGTGTGTTTGAAATGTATAATTGAAATTAGATGTTAGCTTTTTGTTTTGATATATATATATATATTTTGTATTCCAGTCTCCCTTCAGATATGTTAAGTGGCATGGCATTCAACACAATGCTGCTCACCTCCTTCAGTTGGGAGAAAAGCTGGTTCAGGTTCAGCAGGTTCGCATGCGCGGCAAACTCACTGAGGTACTCAGATGAGTACCTCAGTGAGTTTGCCGCGCATGCGTACCTGCGTACCAGTTATGTGCACCCCTGGGTATAGGTTTTCATGTTGGGCTGTATAAATCAAATGAAATAGATTGACTAGATGTGCATCCTGTATTCAGAATCAGGCTGACTGCCAGGGAGGTTCACATATGCAAGAAATGAGCTTTGCTGGATAAAGGTGGAAAGAGAAACACAGTGAGAGGAATGAAGTTGTAGAATCAGAGACAATTTAGAACTATTATAAAAACTCTTTAAATAATGGATAAAAACTGACTGCACTGATTTAGCGTAAATGCAATAACCTCCACTCTCCAGGAGTTACCGACTTTATAAGAACATCCCATTATTTAGTTCTCTTTTACACGAATGGGTGATTGCTATTCACATGAATGCTAACCCTTCTGACGTTTGACCTTATGTGAGAATGCTGCTCATTGACTCAAGTAAACCACTAAATATTAAACTAAACTTGAGAGTCATTGTCTGAGTTACTCTGGATACACATTGTCTTTCTCTTCAGTAGAAACTGATATCCATTTCCTATAAAAGATCTCTTGGTTAATGCTCTCAATCATCATTCATTTACCTCACCTTTTATAAACACTGCAATGAGACACTTCACTCTCCTGTTTCAAAAACACAAGTTTGCAATGAAATCATTTTTTTATTCTTTTTCAATGCTGCATGGGTTCCAGAAATACTCCAACTGAATAATCCTAATTCGGATTCAGACTCAAGGTCTGATTTTTTTGGGGTCTTTTGACGGACCATCTGAATGTGGGCGTTTTATTGCTTTTCCTGGCGGGTCCACCTTCAGCTCCACCTCCACAGGGAAATGGTCACTGACGTCCTCCGCCTGAAAGAAACAGAGAAAACATTTTAGAAACTCAATTTCAATTTGTTGTTCTTCCAACTTGGCATACAGAACATAGTCTCAGTTCAACTTCTAACAGGTGGTTTCTTTGCACAAGATGTTTTTTTAGACCATCAACTCAATAGATAGATAGATAGATAGATCGTACTTTATTGATCCCAAATTGGGAAATTGTTTTTGTTACAGCAGCATAAAAGGCATTTTACAATAAAACAAAATATACAAGAATAGAAATAAAATAAAATAAAATATAAAATAAAATATAAAATATACATGTCAAAATACAAAATAGAAAATATACATACAGATATTATATATATATATATATATATATACAAATATACAAATATATATATATTCAAAATATATGGAATTATGGAGTATTAAATATGAAACAGATTATGTGTGAGTAAAATGTACAAGGTGGTTTTATTTCTAGAGAAACTATGGAGCAGAGAGTTCTCTTCCAGCCAGAGGTGATTTGTTGTACAGTGTTATTGCAGTGGTATATAATAGTTCAATAGTTCAAAAAATAAAAATAAAAGTATCAAGCATGACTTAATCTAGTAATCAAGTAATCTAGTTCCTGACTGTAGTGACTACTCCTGTCAACTCGTGATACGCCTGTAACTTTATCTGTTGTACCTCAAGTTTACAGCACTGTCTTTTCCAACAGTTGTTGTTGTTATCAGCTCAATATAATGATGTGCTCATCCACAGTGACATTAGATGTCAGAGCAAAGGAAACGTCTTGAAATAGCTGTTTTGTGTTAGTTAGATTATCTATGGCTCACATGGAATGATCATTAAGGTCTGATGCTATTACAAAATGTCAAATATTTCATTTGATAAAATGCTGATCTTCACTGAAATAATATGCAGTCATGCTTTATTTTAGTTACGTACACTTAGGCTGAATTACTTTAGTTAAATGAGTGAGATTCTAAATATGGCTCACATGGAGTGATTTGAGGTCTGATGCACTTTATAATTTGAATTTGTACAATACAAATGTGTTTATTGATTAATGGTTAAATGAGTAAATGCTTCACATGTACTGACTTCTGAACATGCCATTTAAATGTGTGTTGTTTCAATAAAATGCGTCACTCAAACAAGATGCGCTGGCGAGGAGGATGTCGTGAGACAGCGTCACGCAAATTTGAAGATCGAGATGAAAAAACCTTCGCCACCATTTTTATTCCGTGTCTTTGAATTGACTTTCCATGTAATCGTGACGCGGTCCAGTGTGAACGTACCTGAGCCTGGGTAAGACCATAATAATCCTTGAAGTCAAAGACCTTAGCGCTGCCTTTCATCACTCCATTGTTCATGTCATCGCTGACGACAATCCTGCAGAAACAGGAAGAGAGGCGGGATTAAGAGTGTGTGTGTGTGCATGGAAGTGTCTTCATGATTATCTGTGTGTGTTCACCTGTCGTGAGTCTGTATAGTCTTTTCTGCCATTGTAGTGGCAACGCCATTGATCAGCCAGTGGAAGCCCTTGTCGGTGAAGAGGGGGATTTTCTTCCAGTCTTCAGCTGTGACATACGTGCCGTCTGCGTTGAAGTCTCCGAGCACCATGATGTTCTGCAGGCAGAGGGAAACGGCTCAAACTAATTATTTGCAAACTAGATCAGAATAATGTCATGGTAATGGGCAATCTGAAAAACACAAATGTAAACGCCCTCTATCTAAATGTTGTTCTCTGACGTCCACTCATTTTACACCAGAAAGAACTGCTCTATGTGAGTCATGATGGAGACTTAAGTTAATATTTTGAGGTGTGTGTGTGTGTGTGTGTGTGTGTGTGTGTGTGTGTGTGTGTGTGTGTGTGTGTGTGTGTGTGTGTGTGTGTGTGTGTGTGTGTGTGTGTGTGTGTGTGTGTGTGTGTGTGTGATTCTACGGTTGTATTGTATGTCTTGTGCTGGGTATTACATTGTTCTTCAATTCTTGTTTGGCCTCCTCCACCACGTCAACAAGGGCATTCAGTTCTTGTACAGCTTTGTCCGGTTTGGTGTGAATGGGGATCAGAACAAATTCCTTCACATCTGGAGACCAGCAGAGAGAGAGGAGTGAATGAAGAGAGACAATGACAACAGAAGAAATACCGCTAAAGAAATTAAATGTACTTCATCACATTCAACCACTAATAAAAAAGTAGGTATTTTAAATGTGGCATTGACTCAGGTAAATGTGTAAGAAAATATTAGACCAAAGCAAATGATAGAGTTTTTTTTAAGTGGTATTGGTGACGGACAGACCTCAGGATCTCCTCTCACACAAGTCTGGTGCTTAGTTCTCTATAATAGATAATCTACATTTCCAATGAAAGAACAGAGTCTCTCCTCTAATACCGGTCTGTGTGGAGGAAAACTTGACGACAGAGGGCGGTCTCATGAAGCCCTTGCCATCGTATTGGAAGCTGCCTGTCGCGGTCACCGTCTGATCCCTGCAGAGGAAAGATGGAACTCTTAATTTAGAAGACGTCTCCAAACAGTGGATCGAGTTCATCGACTCTTTCTCATGGTCACATATTCACACAACTCCTGGAGTATTTTCTATGCTGTTTACACTCTTTATCAAACACATGTTTTCTCTTTCTGCTCACTGATCTGGGGAATTAACAAAGAAATACATACAGAAGATCATTTGACTGTTCTTGTTTTGTTTTTGGCAGTTTGTGTTTTACCTGTAGAGGAAGAGGTATCTCTCCCTATGGCGGATGCTGGTATCCAGAGGCAGGGGATCACTGACGATGTAGCTGAACTGAGGAGAACCTCTGGGGAAACACACACACACACACACACACACACACACACACACACACACACACACACACACACACACACACACACACACACAGACAGACAGACAGACATATACCTTTTGTTTATCTTGAATCTTTATGTGAGTTCATGATCTGTCTAACTTTTTAACAAACTTCTACAATTGCAATTCCAATATGAAAGGAAATATATGAATTGATTATAGTATGAAGTGTATCTGTATTAAGTCTATAGAATACTGTTTGTAGGCCAGGACTTCTCCACAATACTTCATTCAGATATTTTCACTCGTTTTGCCAAATACTGCGATTACTGAGATTTGCATATTGCAGTAGTCAAGATAACATTTAGATGAATGAAGCAGCCCTCACAGTCTGCGTGTGTGTGTGTTAGAATACTGTGTTTGCTCTTCATAAGTCTTACTGGTTAACAAGAGCCAGGAGTCTGTTGGGTACGCTCAGATCGTTGTTGCAGCGGACCTCCTGGATCAGAATGATGTCATAGCGCTGGACAATCTGAAGAAAAATGTATTCTGATTGGTCAATTCTGATGGAAGTACTAAAGGGAACAGCAGAAGAAGACAGACAGGAAGTGAACACTAAAGGGAACAGCAGAAGAAGACAGACAGGAAGTGAACACTAAAGGGAACAGCAGAAGAAGACAGACAGGAAGTAAACACTGAAGGGAACAGCAGAAGAAGACAGACAGGAAGTGAACACTAAAGGGAACAGCAGAAGAAGACAGACAGGAAGTGAACACTGAAGGGAACAGCAGAAGAAGACAGACAGGAAGTAAACACTAAAGGGAACAGCAGAAGAAGACAGACAGGAAGTGAACACTAAAGGGAACAGCAGAAGAAGACAGACAGAAGTAAACACTAAAGGGAACAGCAGAAGAAGACAGGCAGGAAGTGAACACTAAAGGGAACAGCAGAAGAAGACAGGCAGGAAGTGAACACTAAAGGGAACAGCAGAAGAAGACAGACAGGAAGTGAACACTAAAGGGAACAGCAGAAGAAGACAGACAGGAAGTAAACACTAAAGGGAACAGCAGAAGAAGACAGACAGAAAGTAAACACTGAAGGGAACAGCAGAAGAAGACAGACAGGAAGTAAACACTAAAGGGAACAGCAGAAGAAGACAGACAGGAAGTAAACACTGAAGGGAACAGCAGAAGAAGACTGACAGAAAGTAAACACTGAAGGGAACAGCAGAAGAAGACTGACAGGAAGTAAACACTGAAGGGAACAGCAGAAGAAGACAGACAGGAAGTAAACACTAAAGGGAACAGCAGAAGAAGACAGACAGGAAGTAAACACTGAAGGGAACAGCAGAAGAAGACTGACAGGAAGTAAACACTAAAGGGAACAGCAGAAGAAGACAGACAGAAAGTAAAGACTGAAGGGAACAGCAGAAGAAGACAGACAGGAAGTAAACACTAAAGGGAACAGCAGAAGAAGACAGACAGGAAGTAAACACTGAAGGGAACAGCAGAAGAAGACAGACAGGAAGTAAACACTAAAGGGAACAGCAGAAGAAGACTGACAGGAAGTAAACACTGAAGGGAACAGCAGAAGAAGACAGACAGAAGTGAACACTAAAGGGAACAGCAGAAGAAGACAGACAGGAAGTGAACACTAAAGGGAACAGCAGAAGAAGACAGACAGGAAGTGAACACTAAAGGGAACAGCAGAAGAAGACAGACAGAAGTCTAGTAAACTCTGTACATGTTTCCTCAAGGTTCTGAATGTTCTCTAAAAGCTGCATGTGTTGTCAAGTTGCTGGAGATGTTTCTTCATGTGTTTTTATATCTGCATCCTTTCTGAAGCTGCAGCGTGTTTCTCCTGATGGAAGAGTTTGGGCCGTAGCAGCACGTTTACACCTGCTGGCCACCGTAGCTGTTTAGTGCTGCACTTCAGCATTATGTTTAAAATTACCATTACCTCACAAAGCAATCATTGTTTTCCAAGAAAAGGAAACTCAAACAGGAAGTGGGTTACTATGTTTCACTTGCCAAGATACAGTCAAAACAACGAAGAACAAATAAGTATTGGATACCAAATTGAGTTTCAGACCTCTGTGATGATGTCTATCGCTTTGATGATCCCTTTTGTAGTGTTGACTACTTTCTCGAATTTCTCTGGTCCAAAGTTTTGGATGTTGAAGGCTCCAATCAGCAGACAGGTGGTCACATGCAGCAGGGCCAAGAAGAGACCCAGAGCACAGAGCAGACGCATCCTGGGACTAACAGAGACATATTTTTAAAATACTTGGTAATCAAATCAAACTTTATTTATATTGCACTTTTCAAACACAAAGGTAACTCAAAGTGATTTGTTGGTTTTCCCACAATGTCTTCTTTGGGTCAAAATGCAGTTATTATATTAAGAATATTAAATATTTGCTTTAACTGAGTGGTAAAGTCACGAGACAAAAGTGAACTCCAACATATTGTAATAGATTTCAGTCGTCTTAGGAGGACGGGTTAGTGGTGTCAGCCTTCTTACTGAGTGTGTCCAACACTGTTAAACAAATACTTTCACTTACGCACTTTCATTGCTTAAGGAGAATATATTCAGTGTTGTAAAGTAACTAAGTAGATTTACTCAAAGACTGTAATTAAGTACAATTTTTAGTTACTTTCCACATTATGCTACTGTGTACTTATACTCCACTACAGTTCAGAGGTAAATGGTGTACTTTTACTCCACTACATGTATTTAATACCTTTAGTTACTTCACAGATGTGGATGAATGATGTGAAATATAATCAAGTGTTAAATCAGACTTTAGTTCCACCTGGAGTAAATCCACAAGCTACCCTGCAGTATACAAAGTCATTCAAACTAGCTGCACCTTTACCAGCTTTGAGAACACTTTCATGATCAATCATTATAAAACATATCATATATATTATTCTGAAATGGACCAATCTGCACGATGACTACTTTTACTGTCGCTACTTTCACTATATTTTGATGAGAATACTTTTCTACTTTCACTTGAGGAACATTTTGAATGCAGGACTTTTACTGAAACAGAGTATTCCTACACTCTGGTACTTCTACTTTTACTCAAGTACAAGACCTGAGTACTTCTACTTTTACTCAAGTACAAGATCTGAGTACTTCTACTTTTACTAAGTACAATATCTGAGTACTTCTACTTTTACTCGAGTACAATATCTGAGTACTTCTACTTTTACTAAGTGCAAGATCTGAGTACTTCTTCTTTTACTAAGTACAAGATCTGAGTACTTCTTCTTTTACTCAAGTACAAGATCTGAGTACTTCTACTTTTACTCAAGTACAAGATCTGAGTACTTCCACTTTTACTAAGTACAATATCTGAGTACTTCTACTTTTACTCGAGTACAATATCTGAGTACTTCTACTTTTACTAAGTACAAGATCTGAGTACTTCTTCTTTTACTAAGTACAAGATCTGAGTACTTCTTCTTTTACTCAAGTACAAGATCTGAGTACTTCTACTTTTACTAAGTACAAGATCTGAGTACTTCTTCTTTTACTAAGTACAAGATCTGAGTACTTCTTCTTTTACTCAAGTACAAGATCTGAGTACTTCTACTTTTACTAAGTACAAGATCTGAGTACTTCTACTTTTACTCAAGTACAAGATCTGAGTACTTCTAATTGTACTCGAGTACAAGATCTGAGTACTTCTACTTTTACTCAAATACAATCTGAGTTCTTCTACTTTTACTTGAGTACAAGATCTGAGTACTTCTACTTTTACTAAGTACAAGATCTGAGTACTTCTACTTTTACTCAAGTACAAGATCTGAGTACTTCTACTTTTACTCAAATACAATCTGAGTACTTCTACTTTTACTTGAGTACAAGATCTGAGTACTTCTACTTTTACTCAAGTACAAGATCAGAGTACTTCTAATTTTACTCAAGTACAAGATCTGAGTACTTCTACTTTTACTCAAGTACAAGATCAGAGTACTTCTAATTTTACTCAAGTACAAGATCTGAGTACTTCTACTTTTACTAAGTACAAGATCTGAGTACTTCTACTTTTACTCAAGTACAAGATCTGAGTACTTCTACTTTTACTAAGTACAAGATCTGAGTACTTCCACTTTTACTCAAGTACAAGATCTGAGTACTTCTAATTTTACTCGAGTACAAGATCTGAGTACTTCTACTTTTACTCAAATACAATCTGAGTTCTTCTACTTTTACTTGAGTACAAGATCTGAGTACTTCTACTTTTACTAAGTACAAGATCTGAGTACTTCTACTTTTACTCAAGTACAAGATCTGAGTACTTCTACTTTTACTCAAATACAATCTGAGTACTTCTACTTTTACTTGAGTACAAGATCTGAGTACTTCTAATTTTACTCAAGTACAAGATCTGAGTACTTCTACTTTTACTAAGTACAAGATCTGAGTACTTCTACTTTTACTCAAGTACAAGATCTGAGTACTTCTACTTTTACTAAGTACAAGATCTGAGTACTTCTACTTTTACTCAAGTACAAGATCTGAGTACTTCTAATTTTACTCGAGTACAAGATCTGAGTACTTCTACTTTTACTCAAATACAATCTGAGTTCTTCTACTTTTACTTGAGTACAAGATCTGAGTACGTCTACTTTTACTAAGTACAAGATCTGAGTACTTCTACTTTTACTCAAATACAATCTGAGTACTTCTACTTTTACTTGAGTACAAGATCTGAGTACTTCTACTTTTACTCAAGTACAAGATCAGAGTACTTCTAATTTTACTCAAGTACAAGATCTGAGTACTTCTACTTTTACTCAAGTATAAGATCTGAGTACTTCTACTTTTACTCAAGTACAAGATCTGAGTACTTCTACTTTTAGTCAAGTACAATATCTGAGTACTTCTACTTTTACTAAGTACAAGATCTGAGTACTTCTACTTTTACTCAAGTACAAGATCTGAGTACTTCTAATTTTACTCGAGTACAAGATCTGAGTACTTCTACTTTTACTCAAATACAATCTGAGTTCTTCTACTTTTACTTGAGTACAAGATCTGAGTACTTTTACTCAAGTACAAGATCTGAGTACTTCTACTTTTACTCAAGTACAAGATCTGAGTACTTCTACTTTTACTCAAGTACAAGATCTGAGTACTTCTACTTTTACTCAAGTACAAGATCTGAGTACTTCTAATTTTACTCGAGTACAAGATCTGAGTACTTCTACTTTTGCTCAAGTACAAGATCTGAGTACTTCTACTTTTACTCAAGTTGTGCAACATTACTGTCTTTCTAATGTCTCTGCAGCACTTAGAATAGTCTGTCTTATTTAAAGCTGATCTACAGTACCTGCATGATTCAATTTGTTCTTAACTTGTGTCTTCATTGATGATTTCACCTATTGTATTCAGACACAATGCACTTCTACACAAAGACAGACAGATTTAACATCAGCAAGATACTATCATTTCTATAAAAAAGATAATGAATTGGGTCAGATGTAGTGAGTTCATTCAGTGAAGGAGCGTTCTCATACTGTTATCTGTGGGCAGCAGGTACTGTAAGAATCACACACATTTATTTATTAGTTTATAATTATTAACTGACACTGCTTTGCCCATTCTGTCTGGAGTGTTTATATTTATTATATTTTGATGCTAATACTTTTCTATTAAAGGTAGGGTAGGTAATTTTGGAGAAACTGGCTCGAGATCGCTAGAATTTGAAAATACACAACCGGAGAAAATCTGCCACTTCCTTATAGAGCCCCTCCTCCAACACACACGAACGCGCACATGACCAATGAGGGCACGAGATAAGTTTGTGCACAGATGGAAGGCTGACAGGCAGGTAGGCCATCCAGTTATTTTAGCCGGGCCGGCTCAGATGATTGGTCGTGCTTTTTACAGTATTACGGCTTCCACAGATGATATTTTTTTATGGATTTGTTGTCAAAGCACTTCAGATATTCATTGCTATCGGGATGTTAAGAGCATTCCATGGAATATTACAAAAAGTGTATCTCGAGCCGGTTTCTCAAACTTACCTACCCCACCTTTAACTTGAGTAACATTAATGCAGGACTTTTACTGTAACAGAGTATTCATACACTCTGGTACTTTTACTTTTACTTAAGTACAAGATCTGAGTTATTCTCCCACCTCTGGACAGCAGTTACATAAGCTTCAAAATCATAGGTGCGCTCCGGTACATCTGAAATGATCACTACACCCCTGCATATAACAGAACATCAAAGAAAACCAAGCTAATATCAAAAACCAAGATATGTCCTAATGAAAGTACAGCTTTAACCTTAGGGTGTTTTCACTTTCATGTACACTTTAAACACAATATACAACTTCTGCAAGGCTTTCCTGAGTTAAGGGTATTCTTACCTTATCCCAGGAGATGAGCAGAGTTCACAAAATAGAGGTTAGGTTTCTCAGAGAGACTGATGTTCAAAAGTAAGAACCCAAATCAGCCAGCTGCCTTAACACAGAGCATTTATACTCTCCCCACCTCCCTTTCTAAGTAACCAGCAATGTCCCCTTAGCTGTCTTTACTTGGAAGGGAGTTGTCATTGTGGTAACACTCAATATTTTTTCATTAAAAAACTAAACAAACTATAAGTACTCAGAAGAATCCTCTTCAAACCCAGAAATGGGTCTATTGCTTCCTCTTTCAAAATGACCAAGAAAATGTATGTTCTGTGTTTACTAAGTGGGAACTGTGAGAACAGATAAGAGAGTTCCTCATGTTCAAGCTTGAGTTCCTGTTTCTTAATAAGCAATGACGCGTGATCTTTATGTGTAAATGGTAAACATTGTTAGCAATAACAAAATGAAGCTTGTTGTAGACTCTCATCTCGTTAACAAGACCTACTGTGTGACTCTAACTTAGTGTTTGAGTCTGAATCAATGATACATTTGATTTGGAACAGCTTTCAGAACTACATCTCATTTTCTGTTAATGGTTCAAGGTTCATGGTTAGTTTATTTGTACAGCACATTTTAAGACACAGAGGCAATTCAACGTGCTTCACATTCAACACATAATAATTAAAAACAAAACATATACACAATCAAAAACGAGCAAAAAATTCATAAAAGCGATAAAATACTGGCTGCAACTAAAAGTGCAACGATCAGGTTAAAGGATCTCAGGATAGGCTGCATTAAAAAGAAAGGCTTTTAACGTTGATTTAAAAGAACCCAGGTTGGGGCGGACCGCAGAATTTCAGTTGGTTTGTTCCAAGCTTGTGGTTGAATAAAAACGAAAAGCTGCCTCGGTGAATGTAGTTCTGACTCCGGGGACGAGGAGTAAACCTCCTGAAGATAAGAGAGCTCTGGCTCTAACAGTTGAAAACAAGGCACGAGTGTTGTTGCTGTTTTTGGTAATTAATTCTGAGAAATAGGAGCGTCTTGCATTTCGTAGTATGAAGTCATAAGTATGGAGACAGTCTTTAAACATCTCAAAATGAACATGGAGATTTGATTGATTTGCATTCCCTCTTTTGAAGCTTCACCACTGTGGCATTCTTCACCAGAGACAGCTGTAGCAGGGGCGAGAGCATCAAAGAGATTTGTAGTTTCAGACATGTAATTGTCAACCAATCCATCAACAGAGTTTGAATGAGGCTCGACAGTGGAAGAGAAGGCCTGAATGAACAACGTGCTTGTGTTCTCTGTGACGTGTCGTTTTGTGATTATGTGTGGTTGCCTCTTAAAGGTGGGGTAGGTAAGTTTGAGAAACCGGCTCGAGATCGCTAGAATTTGAAAATACACAACCGGAGAAAATCTGCCACTTCCTTACAGAGCCCCTCCTCCAACACACACGAACGCGCACATGACCAATGAGGGCACGAGATAAGTTTGTGCACAGATGGAAGGCTGACAGGCAGGTAGGCCATCCAGTTATTTTAGCCGGGCCGGCTCAGATGATTGGTCGTGCTTTTTACAGTACTACGGCTTCCACAGATGACATTTTTTATGGATTTTTTGTCAAAGCACTTCAGATATTCATTGCTATCGGGATGTTAAGAGCATTCCATGGAATATAACAAAAAGTGTATCTCGAGCCGGTTTCTCAAACTTACCTACCCTACCTTTAAACGAAACACTGATATTGATCTGAAAAAAGATACAGGAGTGGTCTGAGAGGGCAACGTCTGTGACCAGCAGTGGTGAGCCGTCAGGGCCCTCTAGGCCCTCTCTGAGGGCCTAAGATATTCTAAAAAATCATATTTGAAAACATTAAAAAAAGAAACATTTAAAAAACTAAAAAAAATGTTTTAGTTATATTTTTCATTAGTTTTACCAAAATAACTAGTAGTTATACAAATGCCGCTTCAATCACATTAGTATGCATAAAAAGTGACAGGTCACACCTGCTATGTCCCGCCTCCTACTTATGCTAATGAGCCCCTTTGATATGCTAATGAGCCCCTTTGTTCGAGGTGTTATCACGTGTAGGTGTGATTTCACAGATAGATGTGATATCCTTTGATGTGAGGGGTGAGGTGTTGTAGCATGTAGGTGTGATATTCCCCATTGTAGTAGATCATTTGTTGTGTAATCTAATTAGCCTTTGATGTCTGACCCTTTGTTGTCTATCCTTTGATGTGAGGGGTGAGGTGTTTGTAACATGCAGGTGTGATATTCCCCATTGTAGTAGATCCTTTTGTTGTCTAATCTAATTAGCCTTTGATGTCTGTCCTTTGATGTAAGAGGGTGAGGTGTTTGTAACATGCAGGTGTGATATTCCCCATTGTAGTAGATCCTTTTGTTGTCTAATCTAATTAGCCTTTGATGTCTGTCCTTTGATGTAAGGGGGTGAGGTGTTGTAACATGTAGGTGTGATATCGCACCGGCGTGTTATAAGCCTTTGATGTCACTCTAATTAGCCCTTTGATGTATGTCCTTTGATGTGAGGGTGGTGAGGTGTTGTCACATGTCTCGCACCCCATCCCCCTCGCACCCCGTCCCCCCTCTCATCCCTTCCTGTCACCCCATCCCCCTCGCACCCCGTCCCCCTCTCACCCCTTCCTGTCACCCCATCCCCCTCGCACCCCGTCCCCCTCGCACCCCGTCCCCCTCTCACCCCTTCCCCCTTCCTTTTGCTGTGATGTCAGAAGATAGTGAGGGGTGGAGTTAGATAAAAAAAAAAAGAAATCCGTGCAAACTAGATAAAAAGCCACTCACCTAAACTTTCAAAAACGAAAATGGCAAAGAGACGCATCGATATGGGTTTAATCAGCGAGACGCCTGTGACAACTTACTGCCATCCGTCGGGAGCGCCAGTCAAGAAACGGGTGCAGTATCTGTGCCGGGTTCAGACCCTCCGTCTGAGGCTCTTCATGAAAAATGGAGTCTGGATGTGTGAGACTGTCCCCCCTCACACCCCTGCCACCCCCTCCCCTCCCCCTGCCTGTCACCTCCTGATTTTGCTATCAGCCGTTAATTCTCATTCACTAAGTCACCTACAACTTTTATTGTCCTCTCTAAATTAGATTAGTTTTTTAATATGATTTGTGTTAACTAAGGATGTTCTCTTAAGTTGTATGGCTTGTGAACTAATGTTTAATTACTTTACTAACTACAACAAAGTCTCTCTGAGAGGAAAATAATAATTTAAAATATGTTAATGACCCCCTGATATTGTATTTTGTAATGTTTAATTACTTCACACAACTATTAATGAATCCCTATATGAAGTTACATGAGGCTACATTTACTGGTGTTGAGCCCTGGATGATGAAAATAATCTAAGTGTCATGTTAGGGGGACATTACGGAACTCAGGAGTCCGCCCTTGGAGGCTTGGAGAGCGGATAAAGAGAGGTGTATTTACTGGTGTTGAGCCCTGGATGATGTAAATAGTCCAAGTGCCATGGTAGGGGGGCATTACAGAACTCAGGAGTCCGCCCTTTGAGGCGTTGTTAACATTAATGCTTTTGTTTTTGTTACTAAGATACTTTTTAGATACACTTTTGAAGTGAGCAACACTTTACAACTGGTAGAAAGTTAAGTACTTTGTACGGAATTGGGTTTTCTTTAGAGCTGTTTTCAGTGAGACAATGCAGTTTCTGATCATTTAAGTTTCAAGTTTCAAGGCTTTATGGCATATGCCCATTAGCTACAGTGTAGATATGTCAATGAAAAACATAGGTCACAGGCTCCTCCAACAGTGCACATAAAACAGATAAAATACTGCAATAGAATGTTTTGATATTACAGGAACTGTAAGATACACGTTTATGTATGGAAAACTTTATAACTTGGTCAAATATTCATTCATTTGTAATGAATTGAGTTTTCTTCAAGAATCAAACTCGAAATGGAGAGTTTGTGATTTTAACACTGTTTTGATGAAACAATGCAGTTTTGATAACTTGACTTGACTAACATTACTTTTTTTAAATATATGTTTTTAGATGCTTTACTTTTGATTTCTTTCATGTTATTTTAACACATTACTTTTTTCATATTTTTCAACATACTGTGATATTTGTTTTTTGCTCTCCTTTTTCCATTACATTTTTGAATATACAGACATTCAACGCAATAAGTCCCACCCCAAATCAGCAAATCATCCAAAACTAAGGACCCCCACTAAGACGAACAGATTTTCTTTAAGACTGTGACTCTTAAAGGCACTTTGGGATTTTAGTAAGACAATACAGTTTTCTGGAAATAACTTAAATGATTTTCGTTTTTTCTCCTACAAAGATACTTATAGTTATACTTTAATGGATGCAAAACTTTATAACTTGGTAAAATATTCACTAATTTGTAATGAATTGAGATTCTTAAAGAATCAAACTCTAAATGGAGAGTTTGTGATTTTAACACTGTTTCGATGAAACAATGCCGTTTTGATAACTTGACTTGACTAACATTACTTTTTTAAATATATGTTTTGTTAGATGACTTTACTGATTTTTGCTTTTTTCTTCCTTGCTTTTGTTTGTGTTACTAGGATACTTTTAGATACACTTTGAAGTGTGCAACACTTTACAACTGATAGAATAGTACTTTGTAAGGAATTTGTTTTCTTGGTAGAATATAAAGTACTTTTGTAAGGAATTGGGTTTCTTAACAATCCTGCTCCACCATTAAATCCCTTAATCTGCTACTTCCAGGCAAAAGCTTTTAAAACTTGCATCGTGTATTAAGTCATGTCTTGGCAAAAATGAGAGTCCTGGGTGCTTTAAAACATTTCTTAGAACATTTTGATATATTCAAACACATAATGAACTGCAATGACTCTGGCTCACTGCTGCATCAAATTTATTTTACACTGTTGGGAGGGACAAGACTGTGAGACTCTCAGACCCTTTTGTTGTCAATCTAATTAGCCTTGATCTATAAAAAAGTCACCTACTACTTTATTTGTCCTCTCTAAATTAGATTTAGGGTTTTTAAAATTCTGAAAAGGCGTGTTGTGAGGGGGAAAAAACAGATGTATGTATGCGGTTTTGAATGGTGGCTGGTTGATGAAAACTGATCCAAAATAAGGGGTCAGGAATAATATGGCTTAAAATATGAGCAATCATGTTAATAGCTACAGATACGCTAAAGTACTACAACAACAACATAGGAGTGCTTATACTGTATGTTGTAAAAGCAGGACAAACAAATAAATAAAATGCTGCATTGTTTTTTAAACAAGAACCATATGCCCA